CTTCAAGGCTCAGGGGTCCAAGATTATCTTCTGTGTCTGTGTTAATTGGTTTCCCTTTTCTTTGTTGAAGAGGGTCTGTGCAATCCTTCTGCCTAGTCTGCCATCTTGCCCCGCTTCCTGTGTATCTTTTTTTATTATAGCCATCCTGATGGGTGTAAAGTGTGGTATCTCATTGTGGTTTTGATTTGCATTTCCGTAATGACTAGTGATGACATCTTTCCATATGCTTATTGGCAACCATGACTTTTTAACTTTTCTTTCAGAGAGTTTCCTGTTAAAGTTTATTCAGAAAATGAGGAGTAGACATTGGTGTGCTGTTCCCATTTTGTTTCTGTCTAAGGCTTTGGCAAATGTCCCAAGATGTAAAGCCCTGGGGGTAGAAGGGCTTCTTGCCCTCAGGTAATTTACTCAGTATGTTTCACATGATTATATGCCATGACTTTCCTTAGTAAATTTTGTTTTCCCCTCTGATTTAATCTACAGTTGAATGTTTTTGACTGAAACTTGCTTTGAGATTTGTGAGCTCTTAATTTTATACATGAAAACAAGTAGATATAAAATATCTGTTACTCATATAGAATTGAACTTATTTTGTTATGACTTACTAATTTTAATATGTACTATAACACCTATAAGGAACTCTAGTGGCACAATGCCTAAGGCAATTGACTGCTAACCAGAAGGTTAGTGGTACAAACCTACCAGCCATTCCTTGGAAGAGAGATGTGGCAATCTACTTCCATAAAGATTTACTGCGTTGGAAACCCAGTGGAGGTGCTGTGAGTCAGAATCAACTCAATGGCAGAGAGTTTGGTTTTGTAACACATGCTATTGGATTTTGACCACTTTAAGTAATGCTAGTAAATTTTTATTATATTGATGTGTAGAAGAGTAAAAAGTCAAATGATAATGTTGGTAAGAAAATATTCCAAAAAATGTAAAATTCTTACTTTGAAAGTAAATATGAAAAAAATTTTAAAACGCAAATATGAATAAAGCATTTGTCTTTGTATATAATCTTTTTACTTTTAAGAGATTTGTTGCATATTAAAATTGAGTTTTATTAGATGCCTTAATAGGAAACATTAAGTTTGAAATTCTGATAGTGATTTTCTGTATTAGAAACTATAAAGATACTATAAATCAACTTGTCAATAACTGTCAACAATCAAACTTGCTTTTGGAAGTGAGGAAGTGTGTTTTGCTTTTTTATGCTAGGGATGTTCTTCAGTGTACTATGATCACACATCAGATTCTATTAAGAGGGGCAGCTCAGTGCTATCTTCTTCAAACAGCTATAAATTTGGTGGATGTGGTAAGTATCTTTTTTATTCATGATACTTACATATGAGTCTTAGTGAATGGGTATGAAAAAAGAGTACATCACAGGTCTGTGACTGCTACTATTAGAAAGGCCTGCTTGCAAGATGGGCCCTTGGCTTATATCTGTGAACTTGGGTTTCAAGAGGGTTCCCATTATCTGCCTAACTAATAAAAACAACTCACGGTGCCTAAACTGTTTGTACAATGTAGTTTATGCTGAACACCTGATTACCTTCTCTGTGTATAGAATTTTGGTACATGCCATCAGAGGGTAGCTACGTGATCAGTCGCTAATAACAACCCTGTGCACTGAGGCTCTATTGAATTTCCCTCATAGACAACACTTCACAAGTTGTCATCATAACTTGTTACTGGAGAAATTAAATGGATCTGTGTGCCCTGGTATCCTCCAGACATTGCCTCATGTGCCTTTTCCTTTGCTGATTTTGTTCTGTGTCCTTTTGTTATAGTAAATCTTAGCTATGAGTATGACCATATGCTGAGTCCTTTGAGTCCTTCCAGAGAATGATTGAACCTGGGAGTGGTCTTGGGAACTGTCAGTACAGTGGGTATAAAATTCGGTGAGTGGGTGTAAAAATGGAAATTAAGCCCCTGTTGGAGGATTTTATATCTTTTGATCTTTTCTGATGTCTTCTCCAGTTCTTTCAGGATGATCTATAATCAAAAGGGCACTTTGTTCTTCCTTCTGCTTTTAGTTAGTATAACACTGAAGGCAAAAATATGGTGAACAATAATAATATATTTGTTTTGTTTCATTTTTCTCTCTCAGTCACTATGAAAGTTTCCCCTAAGAGCACTTTCAAACATTTTCACCATGTTTTTGGTTACACATAAAGCAGATTTGCATGGGAATTACAGATAGTAGAAGCTTTCTTCCTTTACCTATAAATTTATAGAATTTGCATTCTAGTCCATAGTGTATATTTATTCATTTTAATATGAAGAAAATTTCTCACATAATAAATTGACATTCAAGGATGTACGCTGCCTTTAGTCTGTGCTTTTTTTTTTTTTTACAGAGCTCCTATAATTCTATTATGTAGAGCAGTTGCCAGCCAACTTTTACTTAAAGGCTATAAGTAACTATGGCCTTTACTTAAAGGCCCTGACTTAGAAAAAGGTATCTTAATTTAAGATGCATAACTTTAAAGGAATGAAAAGACTTAGGTGGTATTCTTGAGTCAAGGAGTGATTTTTTGTGGTTTTGAAAAGTAATAATCACTTTTTGATATAAAGTAATTTCTGCCTATAAATGGTTATTGTTTCTTTTTAAGATTGTGACTGTCTTATATCTATCATAGTAACTTTGATTTTAAGGAAAATAGATTTGTAAAATAATCTTTTATTACATATAATCTATTAGTTGTTTAAGACCAATATCTTCATTTTAAAAGTTGAATAATATTTTTTAAAAATAGCTTTCTTTTGATTTAATTAATTATATTCTACTTTAAGTAATATACCTGGTTGCTTTCACAGTGATTTTATTTTACTTAAGTTAAAAATTTTAAACTCTCTCCCCAACCCCCAAGGAGAAAGTATCTTTTTCCGATGTCTCAACTTTTCTCATGTCTTTGAGACAAGATGAATCCTTAGGACGAGGAACTTCATTATGGACAGAGGTGAGATTTGAGAATAATGATAAAGATGTTTGAAAACTGTAAAAAGTTGTTTTTATAATTGAATAAATTGCTAGCCAATTATGTACATAAATTGCTTTATTATCTATCCAAGAAGCTCTGGTGCTGCCATGGTTAAGGCATTCAGCTAACCAAAAGGTCAGTGGTTTGAAACCACCAGCTGCCCTACAGGAGAAAGATGAGGCAGTCTGCTTCTGTAAAAAATTTATAGCCTTGGAAACCCTGTGTGGTGGTTCTGCTCCATCCTGTAGATTGTCTATGAGTTGGAATCAACTTGTTGGCAGTGGGTTTGGGTTTTTGATTTGTTATTTCTCAACAAAGGATTTAAAATACTATATATTTGCTGTGACTAGAGTTAACTAATAATGCTACTAAGATCCTTGTGGAATTGGGAGAGAGGAAAACATTTGACTTAAGAGATAGACCTATTTAGAAGACTAGATACTGATAATGGGCAGATCTTAATTCTAGATGAGATATAATAGCAATAATGATGTTATACTCAGAAACAGTAGCTCAAACATCATTTTTCTCCTTTTTCTGTCAGTAATGACACTTTCATGTACTACCCAGTTAACCAACACTGATATTTCAGTAATACTTAATTGTTCCTGACTTTCATGGGTCTACTTCATCAACAAGTTCTAATTTCTCTTAAATGTCTTTCCTTTTCTCCATTATTAGCCATTGCTTTAGTTCATACCCTCATGTAATACTTTTCACTCTATACCTCATCTTGTCTCTAGTCTTTTTTTTCCCTCAATTTTTTATTGTAATTTGGGTGAAAGTTTACAGAGCAAATTCGTTTATCCTTCAGTAGTTCATACAGATTTTGTTTTGTGACATTAATTGAAATCCCCACAGTATAACAGTTTTCTTCTCACTTACTGTAATAACCTTATTCTCTGTGTCTTTCTTTTCGTACCTCTTGTGCACCTCTCTTGTGTCTTCTTTTCCTTAGTGATATTTTGCTGTTATACTGCTTTTGGTATGTTGTCTTTCTTTTCCTTTACTCAAATCATTACATATCTCTTACCTATTGTTGTTGTTGTTATTTGCCGTCAAGTCGGCCCCGACTCATAGCGACCCCTCCTTGGGTTTCCGAGGCAGTATCACTATGGAAGTAGGATTGCCCAACCTTCCTTCCG